CCTTTCCCCCTTTTCCCCCTTTTTTCCTCCTTTTTCCTCTTCTTTTCCCCCTTTTTTCCCTCTTTCTTTCCCCCTTTTTTCCTCTTTTTTTATCATCCCCATTTCCCCCCCTATTTTTTCCCCCTTTCCCCCCATTTTGTTCCCCCTGTTTTTTTCCTGTTTTTCCTTTCTTTTCCCTCTTTTTTTCCCCTGTAGTGCTGAGAACTTCTCTTTATGTTTTCTTCTCTACATCCTTTGTTTCCTTGCCCTCTTTTCTGTCTCCTGGCAGGCAGCAGCGTGGAGTTTGATTGGTGTGCTGTTTCCAGTATCCGCACGCTGCGTCGGCTTGGCAACAGGACTGTCGTGGTGAATTGCAACCCGGAGACAGTAAGCACAGATTTTGATGAGTGCGACAGACTCTACTTTGAGGAGCTGTCACTGGAAAGGATCTTGGACATCTACCAATATGAGGTAAAGAAAAACAGAAGCTCTATAAAAAGCCATGAAGCAACCTAAACTTTTCAAATTTCCTGTCACTAGCTTGCTCTGGCAGAGCAGCAGGTGACAAGGGGAGAGAGCTTGCTCCCCAAAGCTCTTTGGTTTGGATCCCATTGTTGCATTTTACACGTTGTTAACGTTCCTAGCAGACTGCTCAGTAATGAATGCCAGATAAATGTTAAATTATTTTGCAAGATGCCATATTGTGCAGTATTTGCAAGCAGATTTCATTTGCTGCAGTCATTTATTGCACAAATTGTTCTGTCCTTGCGGTGCTGTGCTTGAGTAGTTAAGCATACCCTTGACTTGAAGCACAAGTCCTCCACCTGAAGCAGTAGAACATCATGCTAATGTGAGCTCAAGAACCAAGAACTTGCAGTCTTGGCCTTGCAGTACAGTGGCAGTGTTGTGGATGTGGTCTGGCATACAGGCAGGCAGATCAGGAAGGGGCATTGGAATTGCCATCAAACCAAAACATGTTGCAGCTGATCCAAATATTGTACTGCTATCTTAGGGGTTTTCAACTGTTCAGAAGTGCTAATCTAAGAGATGGAGAAGAGTCCCAAGACAAATTTGGTACTTAGAGTATATATTATATAAACAGTTGGCCCTAATATGGAAAATGTTGGTTTCTAATCAGAACTCAAATCTCAGACTCGAGGCTCTGTTCTTCAGCCATTTGCAAAATACTGGCTAGGAGCATTTTTAGATTGCATGTTCATGCTTTCCTATTTGTACATGTTGTTTTACCTCTTCTATAAATTTTTGTAGAAACAGATTACTGTTGGAAAACATAGATTTAGGGCAGGCTCTCTGGACTCAAAGGCTGTTTTTTTTAATGCTTTAGGATTATGCATGAGGCTCAACTCTAAAAGCATTGAACTCTTATTTACTTAACAGAACTGAACTTCTGAGCTTGGGGCGTGGAGCCAACTGGGGGTGACAGTTTGTCAGACAAGTTCCACTGATGAAACACAGCATCTAATTACTGCAGGATCAAAGGGAAGGTAGATACAGGTGATGAGGCAGCAACGGCTCATTTCAACACGGAGTGCTAGTAATTAGCGGGTTGGGTGAGAAAAACGTGTGAAAAGAATAATGCATATATATTGAAACTTGCACTATCCTGCTTGTCACGGCAAGGTTGGCAAGTTTGATGGGAGGTGGTGCAGATCTCAAGGTCTAATAGCAGCATTCTGTGGTACCCAGACCTAAAGGGGTAGGACACTGCTGGCAATTTCCCCAGCTCAGCCGGCCATGCTCATAAACTGGACTGTGCTTATGTTTCTGGACATGCTTTAGCCTGTCCTGCTTGTGAAGTAAACCAAAAACGTGATTGTGAGAGGAGAGAGGGTAGGGAAAAGGCAGCAGGAACTGAGGTGGTGAGAATAAAAAGGGGGATAAGAGGGATGGTAAAAGAGTTTGCTGAGATTTTTGCTACTGTGGCTTGGGTATGAAAACAGCCTATTTGATGTTTGCTCTGAGGGTGTTAAAGTCGTCAGTGTTTGAGCCTGAACATCCAAAATCAGGGTTGTGCTGTTGAATAATTCCCAAGATGAGTAGTAAATACTCAGCTGTTTTAGAACACTTTTCTTCAGTAGCAACAAAAAGAAATGGTGTCATTATGTCTAATTTAGAAGTCTCTGAGGAATAGAGTAGCCTGCACAGAGACATGCAAAAGGCCATGGGCAGACCTAGGGACACAGCCCAGACCTCCAGCACGATGTAGTCTAAGTTTTATTATTTGTTATATGTCATTTCTTTTTTAAAAAAATGAGTGAGCCAAATGCTAATATCCTGTTAACAAAATAATTCCTCAGGCAAATGCAGTTGGAAGTCAGTCTCTAAAGAAACTATCAAGTTAAAATTAATCTGATTCTGAGATCCTTCACCAATCCTGCAAGACAGCCATCTCTCCCAGCTTCCTATGCAAAGCATGAATAGTGCCATGATTTCAGACTGTTCATTTAACCTCTCCTGCTCATTGGCCTCTTATGGTGTTCCAATAGGCAATGAACTGTGGCAAATACTTTGAAAAGTCCTGGAGTGCTGGCAGACTGTAGGTAAAACCATCAGCAAACAATGGACACACCCCCGTGCCCTCAGTAGAGATGATTCATCAGCTCCCTAAATGTAGTTAGGATTAGCAGCAAAATTTGGGTGACTGTTAAGCTCAAACAAATAGGTGTACTGACTGTCCCAGTTTTAGTGATTAGACAAATGAGGCTGCATTGAGAAGCAAGGTTACCAGCAAGACTGAGGCAGCTGGAACCTGCCTAGCAAGAGATGTCACAGCCTCACACAGCCTTATCCCAGGGATGTGCTCAGCTGTCCCTCCTTTCTCTCTTTTGCGTCCTCTTTTACCTCTAATTGACATTCACAGCTGCTCTGAGTCACCAGAGACTGAGCTGTGCATTGGAGCAGAGTTTAATTTACTGTGAACATGCAGTTAGGTGGTAGTCTGTGAGGACAATAATTTAAAAAAAAAAAAATAAAATCCCTTTCTTCAGATTTATTGGCTTTTTGTTTCCGGAGATGTTCCCTCTTAGTTTTAATATCTATCTGCTTGAGGGCCTCTACTGATTCTTTTTCAGTTTCTAAAATAATCCTGAAACAATTCATAAAACTAAAGGAGGCTCTTAGGTACAATTTTAATGGTCTAATTTGTTTTCAAACTCAGGGAAAAAGAAAACCCAACTTTATTACTAATGACATAAAACCAGCGTAGTAATAAAAAGAGTGATTTTTGTCATAAAGGGAATGATAATTCCCTCTAGGCTTCTTTCACTAGATTATGTATTGCATATATTTTAAAGATATCTAATGGCAAGGATGTTATTCAGTTTCTTTATAATTAAAATATGGCTGATGATAGAGTGATATGCAGTGGCATCTCTTTCTGTCTGCCCACATTCTCAGTGGAGCAGTCCTGTTCCCTGGCAGGATCTCTGGGCAGGAAAATCCTTTGGGAAACAGCAGCAGAATTGTAAAGGAAGAAGTGAGCAGCAGCTAGGTTCAATTTATGGTTCTTTCTGAGTAAAAATGAGTCTCTGATTCTTTGCTATCTGCTTGAATAAGCCATCTCCTCTGTCTCCTTAGGGCTAGAGTCCATAATACCATCCCAACTTCGATGTAGGCAGTCTTTGAATTTTCGAGTCTCAGTAACTAGAATTGTTTTAAAGGAAGAAATAAGCAGCAGCTGAGGAGAAGCTGTTAGCTGGGACATTCACATTTCAAACATGCCGAGGATAGATTAAGGTGTTGGTTACCTTGGTAGCAAAAGTAGGCCAACTTGTTATCCAACAGGAACCCTTCCAAGCTCCAAGAAGGAGTTTGCTTATTCGCTGTCTGCTTCTCATCCATGTGGGATGGTAAGAGGCCCAGGGACTAGGGAGAATTAGTCTGTTTTGGGTGGGTCTGGAAGCATTAAGAAACAGATTTCTTTTACGAGTTGGAGATGGTGATCTCTGATGTCATGAGACAACCCTGTGTGGGCACAAAACAGCCTCTGTCCTTGCTCCACCCTCTACTAATGAGGCATTTTTCACTGCCTATCCTGAGCTCTCTCAGATGGTTGCTGTTGGGCAGCAGTGGGAGATGAGTGCATGGGGAAGAGGAAAAAAAAAAAACCATCTCCAACACTGTGTATCAGCCTCCTAAGCAAATAATAGTCTTGTAGATTTTGTGATAAAAAGTGTCATTTAACTGCCAGACTTTTTTTAGTAGATTTTTATTCTGGTAGGAAATTAACTACATCAGAGTTAAGTGGGGCTTGTACTAGCAATATCATCTATTTTTTTGCAGTCACTTGTAGTCCATCCTGCTCTCAGCTTGCAGACTTGTCACTCCAAATCCTTTTAAATCCCTGATGAAGGGGTTCCTCTTCCAGGAAGGCCAGTGGGGCTGCCCTCCTTCAGGAAAAACGCACTTATTAATTGAAAGAACATTGTTCCTCTCTCTTTTAGAGCCAAACCGTGGATCACTTGATTTATGTTCTTCATTTGTTAGAAGTGGGTAAAACTGTAAAACACATTTTGTTCAAAAGAGCCTTCACAGCAGCTGTGCTGTGGGCCAGATCCTCCTTTGGGCAAAGTTTCACCAGCTTTAATTTAGCAGTAAAGTGCCCATTATTTAATTACCCTCAATTATTACACAGTCTAAACACAATTCATATCCTCATAGTTGTTGCAGGTACTCTAAGGCCTTTTTTTTGCTGTTGTAAATTTTCACACCTGACTATATTGTACTTGAAAGCATTAGGAGTTCTATGGAAAAAAAGAAGAAGTCCATATTTGCCCTTGAAGGAGGATATGTGTTTGCAAGCAAGCTCACTCGTGTCTTTATTTACTCTTTATTATTTCCTCACTTAAAATGTGATGGGTGCCCAGTGACAGACATGGAATGCTCCAACGTGTCTGGAGGATGCTGTGCCACTTGCTCCACCTCAGCTGCCTCTGGAATTAAAGTGCTTACAAACAACCTGGATGGAAATGAGAACATAGGACAGTTTGCTGAAATACTGGTTACTGTCAGGGGCACTACCAGAAATGAGGAGCTAGTCAGAAATGAGGAGCATGGATTAAAATAAAGGGCTGAGTGTGTCCAGAGTAATCCACCCTCACGTGCTGTCTGATGTGTTGGGCTCTGTTGAACTAGACTCTGCTTAGCTTTGTTACACTCCTCAAAGACTGGCTTCTGGGGCTAGGAAAGGTGGTTTGCTGAGTAAATAGCAGTGCTGGTAGAAAAAAAACCCATAAATTCCAGTTGTTTGCCTTTGCCTCACTTCTGGAGGTTACTATCTTGCAACTCTGAATCTCTGCTCTCCTTTAATGGTTTATAGCCATTCCCCCTTGTCCTTTCTATCTGTCCATGTAAAAAGTCATTCTACCTTTTTCTTATAAGCTCCCTTTAAGTACTGGTGGTCACAGTAAGGTCTCCCTGGATCTTCTCTCCTCGAGGCTGAACAGCCTCAGCTCTCCCAGCCTGTCTTTGTGGGAGAGGTGCTCCAGCCCTCTTCCTTCTTGTTGTCCCTATGCTCTGTTTTTATTCATAGGAATCTGACAAGAAACATGATCTAAGTACTGGATTCCTGTTTGTAACAGCTCTTACTGTTTAACTTGGACATGACCGTGCTCCTTTCTGTCTGCTGACAGGGATGCAGTGGCTGCATTATTTCTGTAGGAGGGCAGATTCCCAATAATTTGGCGGTGCCACTCCAGCAGAGTGGAGTGAAGATCCTTGGCACAAATCCTCTGCAGATTGACCAGGCAGAAGATCGCTCCATATTCTCAGCTGTTCTGGATGAGCTGCATGTGGCCCAGGCTCCCTGGAGGGCGGTCAGCACACTGGTAAGTTGGTATGTGCATCTGGGAAATGATGAAGAAGCTCGGGAGGGACTGACTCACTGATGCATTTCAAGATTCCAGAGTTATTTAACAGTTTTTTACTGCCAGTGTTGAAGAACTTTTTGGTCCCTGTGAAGCGATGCTACAGCAGCACTTGGAGTGGATGGAGACTGGAAGGGAAGTGTCTTTAAATCACCTTTACACAACCTGGGGCATATACCCAGCAGAAGTTAGCACCACTGTCAGGCTAGTCTAATCTGCCCTGCTGGCCTTGAGAACTGCTCTAGCAGGTGGAGTTTGCAAAGGAATAGAGGTGTCTTGGCACTGCTTTTTTTTCCTGGTGAAGCTCTATGGACAGGGAAGGTCTGAAGGTGCCAACTCTGGAACCAGGCCACAGTCCCCGACTTCTTCCCCCACCATCTTACTGGCTAATACAGTGCAAATGCAGTTAGTGTTGAAATTTTGGTATGACTTTACAGTATTTTGTTGCACACAGCGTGTTTTTCCTCCCTTTCTTTAGAGAGACGCAGTTGAATTTGCAAGCTCAGTGAATTACCCGTGTTTGCTGAGGCCCTCCTATGTTCTGAGGTAAGGCTCAGCCATCAGAGCTCAGCGGGGTAGGGTATGAACTCCAAAGGCCTCTTTGAGATGAGGGTGAGTAACCTCAGGGATGTGTGGAAAGCTCTGTGCGAGGTGTACGTGGCATAAAGCTGCCCATGGGACAATCAATGAAGTAAGCACATGGATCCCTTGAGTCCATCAGGCATAGATCAAAGGTGGATCATAATCATAAGAGTGTCTGTGTAGCTGTATTACCTTTTTCATATCTTAAGGTCAAACCCACGAGCCATCTGGGATATTTTTTAAGGTTCCTTAGACTGTTACCTCTACAGTTAAATCAGAAGATTGTTTGCCACCAGGAAAACCAGAAGGGAACATGCCGAGGCCATTTATTGGGGTTGGCATCTGTTTTCAGAAAATGGCAGTGCATCTTTTGAATTTAGCTTCTTATCTGCCAAGCTTCTCCCCTTGCAGGCATGTTTTATGTCCCTACACGGTGGCAGCTGCTTCTTATTGTAAGATAAACATACACACATATTCCTCCTAAGAGTGCCAAGGCAGTGAAAGGATTTTAAAAGAGGTTTATTTCAGATGCAAGGACCACTTTTTTGAGATGCTGCACGCATTGGGCCTTCGGGGGAAAAGGCCAGCTCCTGTCCCCTCAGGGCCCTTTTTGTCCTCTCTGTTTCTCCCCAACCCTCCCAAGGCCTTGATGTGTGTCTGTTAGGGCTCTCTCTGTTTTCTGACATGCCAGAGAGCAAGGCTGAGAACTCTTGCTATGCAGGGGAGGGGAGGAAAGCATTGAAACCGCCTTTGAGAAAGAGTTAACATTCAGGCAGAAAGCCTTCCTAGCAAAAACCGAGTTCTAACACTCCGTTACTAATCCTTCTGGAAATGTATCAACTCCTACATCATTAAACAGACGTTGTGTGGAGCCCCACGTTTCCAGCAGTTAGACATTTTGGGGAAGTTACACCAGTGTGTACACACAGCAAACTCACACGTTCTGCATGTTCAGTCTTCGAGGAGTTTCTTCATAGCTGGATGACAGCACAGGGAGGCAGTTTGCTGGGCACAATTTACAAGTGAAAATAAATTGAACACTGGATCCTTTTCCATATGAAGAAGACACACATATCAAAACGAAGAGGCACAATATCAATTTTTTGGGGGGAAGAGTGGCAAACACACTTTTTATTTAGAAAGAAGGAAAGGAGAAGGGTTTCTTATATCTTCACACCTCAAGGAAATGTCCTTTAGAAGAGACTCCTGAATGGGACTTTTCTATCTGGTTTCTAAAGCTTGCAGTTTGGTTGCAAGGAAAGTTAGAAAACAGACCTCAGGTCAGGAGTATAAGTTAAAAACTGGTCCTGATGTAACTCTCCAGATTTTTACAGAACACTTATTTTAGCTATTGTTTCCATCTGTATTAAATCCATTATAGACCCTTTCCATGTTAAATATTTGCTAAAGGGTGTCTGTCCAGGTTAGAGGGAATTCAGGGAGAAAGATAAAATTAGAGGATGTAAAACTTGAGGAACCAGAGAGTGAAAAGCCTGTGCTCTGTTTGTCCTCTATTTGTAGAGCAGCAATGGATCCACAGCTAGACTTCTTCATCCTTTGAGCAGATATGACCTTTAATATTTGCCAGTTTTCTTGGAAAACCAAATGCATTTCCCCAGCAGTTTGGTACTTTGTGCACCAGGTCACATCCTCAGTGGTGTTACTGGCATAGGTCCATAGATGTAATTGAACTCTATTGATTTACATCAGCTGCAGAGGTAGTCCAGTAAATATAATCACTGAAGTACTTGTTTCTATTTATCTTAGGGTAAAGTGACTGATTTTTGTGGGAGATATCCTTGTTCCACTTTTCCCTGCAGCCTCTGTGTGGTGCCCATCAAAGCAAAGGGCTGCTGTGCACCAGTGGTAGAAATGGCCAATGTAACACCTTTTTTATAAGATTGTTGTCTTTAGAAGGCACCTGAATCACTGGCTCTGGACCCATGTTCTCCCAGATCCCCCTTTCAGATGCTACTGAGAGCTACATCTCAAATGTAGCTTCCAGATGACAGTGTCTGCATCTACTGTGCCTCTCTCCCTTAAGGAATTAAGACCTTAGGGGAGGAATACAGTGAAATGGCCAGAGAAGAACAGCCTGGTTTTTGTCTGGATTTACCTTGTCACAGCCATCACCAGTGACCTGTGCGTTCCTCACTTCATCTGTCACTGAGGAGAAATTGGGCCAAAGTGAAAAAAGTTTCTTTTTTACCTGATCTCACAGCTAACCTGCCCCATGGAGAAAGTCTGGGCCTTAATGGAGCTGCCTGGCTGATGAGCCATCTCCCTCAGCTAAGGGGAAGGTTCAAAGGCTTGACTCAGGAAGGGGATTTGTCAGCAGTGCTAAGGCTACTCAAGTTCTTCCCTTGATTCTCCATTATGGTTCTGAGGTCTCCTATCTTCTCAGGGAAGTATAATGGAGGGTCATTAGGTACCATCTCTGCCTCTCTTTCAATCAAGATGGGGTAAGTGGCTTGAGTCAGGAGCTTCCTTGGCTAGTCTCTGATTGGCAATCCTGTGCTGTGGTGCCTGACACTGATCACAGTGGAAGCTGACCTGATTTGTTTTCTTCCCTGGTCTCACAGCGGGTCTGCAATGAATGTGGTATTCACTGAGGAGGAAATGAAGAAGCTGTTAGCAGAAGCCAACAGAGTCTCTCAGGTGCCAATCTTTGTGCTGCCACTGCCTTTTATTTTTGTGTTTGCTCTGCTTGTTTCTTCTTTACTGTGTTTTCCATCTCTTTGTTTCTTTATAGTATCTTCCTTACTCTATCCCTTCTTTGTTTGGGGAGGAGCCACTGGAATTGTAGTTTGACTCCTCAGTTTGTTCCCCAACAGGCTCCCTAGCGTGGGATCCTGTGCAAGCATCCTTACTGACATGGGATGCCTGCATGGTAGCATGTTTCTGAATTGTTTTGTCTGTCTCCTTTGAGCAACTTAAAAACTTCATCTTGGTATCTCTTCTGAGGTTTTATTCTTCCTTTTTTTTTTTTCTTTTTTTTGAATGGCCACTGTTCAGAACAGTCCTATGGTACCATAAACACTGCTGTCACAGGAGTCTTGGAGTAAAAAATAAGTCAGAGAGGAGCTCTGAAAACACAACTGGCTGTGGAAGCCAGATACATTACTGCTTGTTAAACAGGTGATTAAAGCTTGAACAAGAACAAAACCATTCAGTTTTTAAGTATATGAGGCAAATGATGGAAGTTTAGCTTTTCAACAAGAAATGGTATTGAAAGAATGAAAGGGAGATACCTTGCAAAGTAATAAAATCCTGAAGGGTAGATTAGTGTGGAGGCAAGGAAACCACTTACTATAGTCTTTGAGCAAGTTTTAGAGGGAAAGTACCACTGTTACTTTCATCAGAGCGAATTATTTAACTAATTCTCAGAAGACCACAGGGTCAGACTGTGCTAGTGTGCCAGGTTCTTAGCAGCTGCTGGGTGGCTTGATGATGGCAATGGATGCCCTGTAGGACCCTGAAGCCAAGAAAGTGCCAATTGGTCACCTTAAGATGTCACAACTTGAGTGACCTGAATTGGACAATGCTGTCCTTCATTGCTGACAGGTCTCATCACTGGTGCGAGAGGTCTTGGTGGGAGTTGCACTCGTAGAGTCTTGGCAAAATGTGATGTATTCTTAGGGGAAATAGAGGGTGTTCCTATGGAATCCTTAGGATGTCCAGTTCTACTTCACAAATAAGGCCCTGCCACATGCTGCAAACATGACCAGTTGCACACCATGAATTTTTGGGTGCTCTGATTCTGATTTTCATCTGATCCTGCTCTGGTTCTGATCTGTAAAAATAGATTTAGATGCTAGTTTTTTGCTAATGTAGTCAGACTTCCAAGGAAAGACTTCTTCCTTCCTCCAATATTGTATATTACCAAAAGTTATGGTGTAGTTGAAGTTAAGGTAGCAAAAAGCAAACCAGAATGAAAATAACGTGTTCTGCTTCTAAATTAGGAAGGGTTTTTCAGCCTTGTTGAGGCTTTGTGGTCAGTGAGTGGTTCCACAGAAGCTACCAGTATTAGTTGTGATCATCTTTATGGGACACAGGACGCATTTTTCTGGTTACAAACCCTTACCTAATTCTGCTCTGTCCAGCAGAGAATCTCCAGGTAAAGGGCCTGACCAGTGTTGTTCTGTTGTTTTAACTACTTTGCTGTTCTGGTGTTGTTCCATTATGGCATTTATGTTGTCAATAACGTACCAAACTTCTTGTGTGAGCTGAGACAGATTGAAATAAACAAGGTTGTGTGCACATATAAAACCTTCCAGTGAAAAACTGCAGCAAGACAGAAAGGTACAGGACACAAGCCACTAAATTTATGAAACAGTGTCCTTGCCTGTGAATTTACCCTTGCACTGATAAATGGAAGGAATTGTGTCTTCCAACTTTTGGAGCTGCTTGTGTCTTGTAACTTTTGGAGCTGCTTGATACTTTTTCAAGAGAAGCCTTTTGAGCATGCACAGACTGTCATATATTTCATTTTATTCTCTAATAAATAACAGGTAGTTAATAGTGGATGGGACAGGTAAAATGCTGAGACACAATGCTGGCTGAGAAGAATGAAGATTAGATTTTTTTGGAGCAGGTGTCTGGGAGGAGAAAGTATTAGAGGGGAATGGGAAGTGTGGGGTTACATCCCAGACACGGGTAGGAGGAAGAAGAAGGAAAAAAATCTGTACCAGGTATTGAGAGACAAGGACAGGTTGTTCCTGTCCAGCTATAATTAGTGGCAACCTCTCCCTGGGAGACTTAATAAACCAGGCAGAGAAATTAGAAAGGAATGGATCAGTTGCCTAAAATACACGACTAAAGTAGCAAACAACCACTCTATAAAGTCATTAAATATGCCAAGGATTAGTTACTTTGTGAAGCAGTATGTTCACTGAGGTGTCTGGGAGGCTCAAAAGGAGGAAAAATGGAAGATCTTGGAGGTAAGGATCATCCTTGAGAGACAGGGTCAGAGCTCATTGGATCCACGCTCGTCTCACTATCTTACTTTGCTGTGATCTCACATAAAAAAAAGCCTGCTATGGTTTTGCCCCAGATTTCAAGGTGTCATTATGGAGAACTCAAACTTTTGCATCGGTGGTTTTGGGGGAAACCATGCCACGTTTTCACCCATTATATTCTTTCAAAATTAACTCATCTGTGGAAATAAAGATATTGATAGCTTGGTCTTTTGGGATTCTGCTTCCCAAGGGGCCTGAATGGTCTCCAGATACTCTCAAATAAAAACTTTATTATTTTTTCCTTGTCCTGATGACAGGATCACCCTGTGGTACTCACTAAATTTATTGAAAATGCCCGTGAGGTGGAAATGGATGCTGTAGCTAAGGCAGGAAGAGTAAGTACTTTGCTTTCCTTTAATTGTAAACTTGTTTTTCAGGATTGGAGATTTGCAAAAATGTGTGGTTTGAATGATTTACTGTACAGCCATGGATTTGTACTGAGAAGGGTAGAGAAACAAGAAGAATTCATTTTAGGTTCAAAATCATTATGCTTGAACAGTTATTTTTTTAAGCATTGCTTATCCGTGTAAATGAGTCCTTTAGAATGTAATTTTTACTGCATTTGTGAATCACCGACTTCAGGAATTACTTTCATCAGAACTGTATCAGCATGTGTTATGTAATTGCCACAGTTATTTTATTATTACAATTCACCTTGCATTTCATTACTCAGCAAAGACAGTTCTCACAAAAAAACCCCACAAACTTAACAATTAACAGAAATACTCTGTTTTCAATGCTAATTTTTAACCAGCAGACACGATCACTTTTTTTTGGTATCGGGTAGTGTGCTTTGATGCAGTTCATTCAGTTTAAGTCCTTAGGCCTGTATTTCTTCCATTTGCTTTTCTCTGTGATAAAAACACCATGAGAGTGGGCAAAAAATGATATACCAATGATGTTAGTCCGTTCTTCTTTCTGGTGGGGAATGACAGCTTTTCTGTGCTCTGGCCAGCAGAACTTAAAGAGCTGGTTTAAAGCATAATTAGCTTTTACCTTCTGAGTCTGTGTGTGTTAGAGAGAGGAAGCCTTTTGCATGTCCAGGCTGTGGTGGGTTTTATCATGTTCATGATTTGTTTACCCGTGCTATGAAACACACTGACATGCTCTCCTTGTTCATAGGCTTTGTGTCTGGCTTCAGGCTTATTCTCCTCCAAATCTTGGAAAATTCACTTTTCCCCCCCCCCTTCCCCATCTAAATCCTCTTTTGAATACAGCTGTTCAGGAGACTGTGGTGAGGATGGAGGATGAAGGAACAATTCATGAGAGAGGGGAGATGACCAACTGCTGTCTTGTTACTGTATGCAGGTTATTGCACACGCTATTTCGGAGCATGTGGAGGATGCAGGTGTTCACTCTGGAGATGCCACCCTCATGTTACCCACACAGACCATCAGCCAGGGAGCCTTGGAGAAGGTAGGTGTGGCACTAGCACTGAAAAGAGAAAAGGAAATAAGAGTCTGAATCTGCCTTCCTTCCATCAGCAATGGAGAAATCAAATCATTAATGTTTTTTTCTGAAGGCCAGTGTGATATATTGCAAGCGAAGGATGTCACAGTGTGACTGGCTGTGCTGTGCATAGCATCATTTGAATTGTACCTCATCGATTTTAGCAGTAGGTGTACATGCTGTTGGACCCACTGGATTGTTTTGTTTCCTTGGTTTAGAACCAGTTTCCACAGCAGTAGAGGACTGTCTAATTCACACATATGCCATGGCTCACTTTCTACTTCCTTCTCTCCCACAATCCTTAAACGAATATGTCAGGTGTAAGACTTTATAGCTGCCTGCTTTTCCAAACATAATATCGGGATGAATTAACCTCACCTAGTCTTGACTTTTTTCCCTTTCAAGAATAAACCTGGTAAAACAAAGTTAGGTGTCAAAATGCAATTTTTAAATAAAATATGCCATCACCTGTGATGTCATCCTGTTAGGGGTTTGCTTGGAAGCCAGCCAAGTCTGTCATGCACTGATCTGCGCTCCAGCTCCGTTTCCAAGAATGTCCAAGGCCTTGCTTCTGAAAATAGTTGTCTCCTGAAGCAAAGTTATTCAACGCTTGTACTGACAAATTGCCATGATGCTGTCTATTCTGTGGGACTCACTTATTTTCTATACAGGCATTTACACTTTCTTTATTTGTGTTTTATAGGTAAAGTCTGCTACAAAAAAAATTGCAAGTGCCTTTACCATCTCTGGTCCGTTCAACATCCAGTTCTTGGTGCGAGGCAACGAAGTGCTGGTAAGAGCCCTTGTGACCGTGGCAGGAGTTCAGCCTCTCCTTAGGTGCGTGGTTCCTGCATCCCTGCTGAGGAAACTCTGCAGTGGTAGCTGTGGCAGCTGACCTGCCTTGTCTGATCATGTGGGCTCACGTGTGCCACCCCTACCCACACAGCTCTCCTGTCTCTGTGGGAGAGAGCATCCTCCTCTGCCTTTTCACTCAGGGTTAACTGAGTCTTGCTGCCTGTCTGCCAGCACTAGCTTTGTTTCGCTGTGGGCTGCGCTCCTTCCCAAAATTATCAGATGGACAGCACTGAGACCTGTGCCTCATCCTATAAACTGAACAGCGTGGCTTTTAGATCTCTGATATCCCCTCTCATCTTTAGCTATTTTGGTGTTAAATTAAGCCTTCCAAGGGACTGGAAAGAGAGCAAGACAATGTTTAAGCCTTTAATATAAGCTGTTAAGATGGTTATCTGAATAGTCCTAGTAGCTATTAGTAATAGAAGTGCAGTGGATGTTTAACCCTTTGTGGGTAACAGATGGCTTTCTGTTGCTAATGGAAGGAGATCAGAGGAATGAGAGCAGAGTACGACTGAGGAAATAGTGAGTAGGAAGAAAACCTGATGGAGAACAGAAGAGATGCATTACTGGTAAAAGATCTGTTTTGGGCTATTAGTTGGGTAAAATGTACTTATTGTTGTTCCCTTTTTTTCTGTATCACGCGTGGTTATTCAGACACTGCCCAGAGGGACGTCTTGGCGGAGGAGCTCATGGTGAACAAACGCACGCAAACCAATATGGTTTAAGCAAACGTTCTACTTTATTTACATAACCTAGGCTCTTAAATACCCTCAGAGCCCTGCAGCGCGTGAACACCTTCAAACCATTGGTTAAATGTTGTAAATCACAGGGCAAACGTGTATCCCTAACCCCCTTATCAGTGGGTACAAGCAGCTGTGCACGCGCTGTGAAATCATTGTCTTTCTCCAAAAACTCCTCCTTATTATCTCAATAGTTTACATTCTTGCTGCCTGATATCAATGCCAGTACTTTTCCCGCAACCTGCAAGCAGGCCTCTTGCTAAGACAGGCTAAGGCCTATTAGTATGGTTTGTTCATGGTGCTTATTATTAGTTAAGCACCCCACAGGGACAGACTGGAGTTTTTCATTCCTTGCTTTCCCTCATCTGTGCTTGTCTTTTCTCTGCACAGCTGCCCCTTTTCAATTCTACCTTAACTTACTATCCTTGCCCCCCTTCACTCCCCTTCATCCTCACTTACAGTGATTGATTCCTCTTCTGCTAATCAACTCCAAGGTAGCTTCTCAGCAGGATGCAGAAACTTCTTCGTTGCTTTTTTGGGTCACTGAATGACTTCCACGTGTGGATAAGGGAAGTCAGTAAGATAGTCCAGCCTTTCAGGAAGTGCCACTACCATGGAAAAAGAGCAGGTTGGGCTTCCAGAGGTTGTACCTAATGCCTGTGCATAAGTTTCCATGCCTATTGCACATTAGCTCAGGGTACAGCATAGCATGTTTTCTGAGTGAACTCTAGCTTGCCCTCAGTTCTAATATTCAGACAATAGACAAGATCCTCAGTTAAAGAACATCAGGCTACTTGTATCTCAGGCTGGCCACTCCCCACCCCTCATCGCTCTTTTCATATTGAACGCAATTTCTCTGTCTAGTAATTGGCAATCTGAAGCTCATCTCTGCCAAGAGGACTAAGGACTGATTTCTGGAAATATGAACCAGTCTGTTTCTTCACTGCACAGTGCCTGATCCTGCTATTTCTCTTTTTTTAATCCCATCAGGTGATAGAGTGCAATTTGAGGGCTTCACGTTCCTTCCCCTTTGTATCGAAGACTCTGGGTGTGGACTTCATTGATGTGGCCACTAAAGTGATGATTGGAAAAGAGGTTAATGAGTCATCCCTCCCCACACTGGAACATCCCATTATTCCATCCAACTATGTTGGGATTAAGGTATGCTTTCCAAAAGAACACCAAAAACCCCACTACAGAGCCAGCATGTTAATAGACAATTCGTACTTCAATACCCACAGAGAACAATTTAGTCGTTGGCCTAAGGTCAAATTGACCTTTTGTATTTTCTGTCAGGATAACTGGAAAATTATATTTGGATATCTGGAAATTTTAGAGAAAAATCAAAGCAAAATTATCCAGTGATTATTACCAAAATCAATCGTCCTTTATTTTTTACTTCTAAGCTACTCTGAATCATGTTTCTGAACTGCATAATAAATTTCCACTTGCAGAATTGAACACTGAAGTTCAGGCTATTTAATAATATTATCTAACAAACGTGTGGACGTGTACAACCTTGTGTTGTGAGTGCCCCCCAGATTTCGTCATGAGGATTTGGGACTTGTAATCCCCTTTTTATACAGCACCAGTTAAAATAGATGTGGAAGTCTTGGATCCTTTTGTTTCAGTAAGGCCAAGGTTTTACTCTTCATAATTACTAAGCTTATATAGCACACAAGATACCAAAGTTTACTGTTGGTATTTTTGAATGCTTAGTGGAAGAAAAAAAAAATTAATTGAAGTTCCTAATCATAAAAATACAGGACAGTATTGCAGAAAATCCAAGGAATAATGAGAATTGTTTATACTGAAACTTTCAAGCTTTAATAGCTTTCATATCAAGTGAAAACCAAGGAAGCAGAAAACACCTAATATCTTCCTACTAATAAAATGTTCAGATTCACTAACATGCAAGCCAAATCTGTGACCCAAGCCAGGCCAGGTTATTTGAAACCAGTGTAGAAGTGGCTTTACATTTTATTTTGATGCCACAGATAGGCATGATCTGAAATTTGAACTTGAGATTTTTGTTTTACTTTTGTGAGTCTTATTTATTTTTTAAAATTTCTGTTATTTAGACCTGGGTCTTCTACACTGTTGTTAGCTAAACTGTCAAGAGCTTTTTCTCTCCTGGGAATGCTGGCTACAGAGTGGAAAACCCAACTATATTCCTCAAAACTTCCCACAAAGCCTTTTATACTCTTTGTGTTCTGTGTGGATTTGTCAAATATAAGAACTTACCTTTGGAAATGCTAAACTTTGAAAAATATTCCAGTTTAACCTCTTTGTCATTATTCATGTGTCCTAATTTAATATTTTCATACAAAAGATTATGAGTGGGTATTTTAGGGAGAAGAAGGAAAACATGCGAATAATTTGCAAATTTTCATTTGGTTTACACCAGAAGAATGTTTTCTTGGGGAATAGTTTTATTTTTGTGTATGAAAAATTTCGTGAAGAACAGTTTTCTCAGAAAAACCCATTGGATTTATATACCATTTCTCCTTATTCCATGAATTGGATGTTTCCTAGACTTACTGTTGTAAAATGTGTCCTTAAAATGAAACTGATATTGGGCTACCACTGACTGAAAATCTACTACTGGAATATGAGCAGGACTGCAAGAGTTAGATAATTGATTTATTGGTGAAACACATGTTTATTTGTTCCAGTCCATCATTAGGGTGCTGAGAGAACTAACTTGCCAAGTACTCCTTTGCTTATCAGCCTTGACCACTGCTTTTTCGGATAAATTATTGTCTCTTTCTGGCACTTCCAAGTGTAGCTGGAATTTTTATATTCTTTTAAAAGATCCATTGATTTGTTTTTTTTCCCTTCCTCTTTCTTTCTCCAGGCCCCAGTGTTCTCGTGGGCCCGGCTGAGAGATGCTGACCCTGTTCTCCGATGTGAAATGGCCTCTACTGGCGAGGTATCTTTTTTTTACTTAAACCGAGTTAAGTTTAAACATCATGAATCTTAGAAAGTGATCTTATTTCTGCCTGAACCAGTATAGCATCTGTAGCTTCTTTAGAAAATTAAAAACATCTTCCATAGCTGTAAAAAACAATGTCTTGGAAAACTCAGTTTATTCAGCCACTGGATGTCCCTGTTTAGCTGCATCGGACCTAGTTGGTGTGACTGTCTGCAGTGAGTTTATCTGAGAGCTGTTGGGTTCTAGGAGGTTCTCCCTGCATCAGTCTGTTTTATGAATCATCTGCTTCTGGACAGACAAGTCCTTACGGCTTCCAATCCCCCCATGAACATGTGCTAGAATAGTGATGTTGAGACTCCAGGTCGTGAGTGGTTGGTCTTGGAACAGTTAACTAAGGGCAGAAAATATGTGGGGTATTTTCTTGTTGCCTAGTAACCATCAAGGCACGCCCCAAGGTGCAAAAAATCGGAAAAGAGTGAATGAAATGTGTTGGCTGCAGTAATGACTGTTGGCAGGATGAAGAGATCGGGCAGCTTTAGCCACTCTTGCCGTAGCCGGGCTGTGAGGTGCTTCTGAAACGTCTCTCAGTGTACACATGGCACACTGTAAGGGCACAGGGCTGTTCATTTTCTGCCTAGGCTCATCACCCTCATCCTGGGGCTACAGGATTCCGTCTAGATCACCTGAAGAGACATTTAGAACAAAGAGGTTGCTTCGTGAATTATTGCTGAGCTATCAAGGCCTTCTTTAGATACACTCAAGCGATCTCTAAACTTACTTTGTTACTTCTAGAAAGAGTTGCAGTAGCAGGAACTTATTCTGGGCCAGAACTTATTCTGTGATTAAATACTGAGACAATTAGATGAGGCTTAATACTGCACTACCATATCTAGGCAGGTGTCAGAGTCTGGGCTGCTTTACTGGGTGTGGGCTTGGGTGTGTCTGTAGGAGCTGTTTTCATTAGGAAATATTTACTGCTGTAATATAAAAAAGCATGCTACCCAAATGCAAGCAGAGAACAGCCTTAGGTCTCCTTTATTTCTCCACAATTACTTTGTTTTACTCTTTGTAATGTGTGGGAAATCAGTATTGCAGAAAATTTCCTTTCAGTGTAGTTAATAAGTCAAGTGGCTTCCGTGACTTCCTCATTTTCAGAACACAATTGAATACACAATCTCCCCTGCCCCCTCCCCCACAAAAAAACCCAGCTCTATACAGAGTTAGAGATTACCATGGGGATAAAGGAGGGATTATTAACTTTTATGAGTTGGAAAGATCCATATTCACAAATGCCATAAAGTGTGACAGTTATGAAAGTCTTTCTTATGAGTGAAGTAAGTGTAATAGCTTGCTTTGGGTAAAATGCTCAATTATTCCTCAAAGATGTTTCTCACAAACATAGCTTGATCTGGGCTTGAATTTGTTATCCCTGTCTCTTTGAGTATTGTGGCTGTTTTGACCATGCCATAATGAAGAACCTCTCCTGGCAGGCTGGAAATCCCTGTTCCCAGCCTACAAGAAATGGGGTTGTCCATCACCCTAAGAAGTCCAGGATATACACAGGATATAGATACGCTGTAGAGCAGTGTGAACATTCAAGGATGAATTTTAAAGGAAAGCTGGGATATTAGTTATATGACTTTTTTTTTATCCCTTTCCTTCCGGGATTTTAGTTGTTCTTTTTTTACTTCAGAAGATCTGGCAAATCATCATTTGTTCTTCTTTCATGAAATAATGGTTTCTGCTCACCATGGTAACAGTGAGGCCACGAATCTGAGGGCTAGCTCTGGAATGGGGAGGACCATAAGAGGAAAATGGGAAAGCAATTCTCAGTCAGCCCCTTTATCCCATCTGTGTATGTCAATGGATTTGTTGTTTCAAAGAGAAAAATCTGTGACAGTTTCTGCTTCTGACTGTTTTTCAAAAAGTGTGGAGCTGGCCAGGAAAAGTGAGGGTTGATTGATTGATTTGTTTGTTTGTTTGTTTTGTTGTTGTTGTGGGTTTTTTTCTACTTTTTTAAACTTTCACAAAATCTCATGCATTCCTCTTTTTGTCACCAGAATTCTGAATGCTGGAGAACCGCTAAATGATTCTTACTGGTTTTCCCCTCAAGTTTTTTTTTATATAAAATAAATTCTTATGAATTGGCATGATTGCTTTGGTTTTTTTCCTAAGTAAATACTAAAAGTTTACTTGAATTTTGTACATCTGTGGACTTTTAATGGATAAGCATCTTTGTATACCGTGTTTTTCCTTCCCAAGAAATGTCAGGAGCACAGGAGAGCACAAGCACTGCCTTACCTTGGTTTGCAGCACAGACAGAGGAACTTGCTGCGTGCAGAGCCCTCGCTGGTGTTGAAGCTTTGAATAATGTTAAACAATTTGCAGTGCACTCCCTAACGTTAGAGCAGAGGCTGTGTACAGCATTCCAATAGCTCAGCAGAATCAGTTGTTGTTACTCCTCAGTGTGCTGTTTGAAACTAAAGTGTTGCTCATTCCTTCGTTATTGCTTCATTAAAATGATGAGATTTGTCTACAGTGATTTTCTGATTTATTCCCACCCTCCCCATGCCTTCAGGGTCCATGCAAATGTAGTCTGACTTCTTGAAGCAGAACCAAAAAAAGCCTATTTAAAAATTTCATTCCTGTTTCTTGTTGAAACAATGGGTTTTGGTTTGCTTGGGGTTTTTCCCCTCACGTTGCCGCCTTTGTGCCTTTCCCCAGGTTGCATGCTTCGGGGAGAACGTGTACTCTGCCTTCCAGAAGGCTATGCTTGCCACAGGGTTTACGTTTCCTAAGGAAGGGATTTTGATTGGAATCCAGGTGAGTCCTAAAAATCAAAGCTGAAAAAGGATTGACACAGAGAAACTTGGTAGCTCTTGCCTTGTTTTCATTCATGTGGCTTTATGGCTTAAATGTGTTTCTCTGCCAATTCACACTGAAGTAGAGCAAGACGATGAGGAACAAACGCTCTGGAGAGATCTTTATTGGATTCAGTACAGGTGGCCTGAGTGGTTTTCCCTCTGTCTCCTAATAGTTTCTACTGGGAGCTGCAGAAGTTTGCTGGAAGCAGAGGCCTAGGATCAGAGAGCTAGAAACCCCCTTTCTATGGAACAAACCCACAGTTTTTGAAACCAGTTCCCCTCCAACCCCCCAAACAGTGGGGCAGCTTCCATGCTGCAAAGCTGGACCTGCTAAGCTTTCCTCTTGGGTGTGTGTTTCATTCCAGGCAGAGCTGTAGCATCATTGACAGTGCAGAAAAATGTGATGTTTTTGGGGTGTTGTGGGCTAGTTACTGATGTAATTCAGTGCTGTTGGGCCATCGGGCCTCCACAGGTGTGGCACATTCCTCTCCTTGTTGGAGTCATGATGGGAATATAATCAAGTACAGTGGGGTCAGGGGTTAAAGGACAACAGCCTTCACCCTGCAGCTCACTTCTCCTGCCATTGTTCCTCACCCTTTTTGATGATGCTGCACAGCCAATTTTATTCCCTACCCTGCAGCTCCTGTCAGCGAGGAGTAGCTCAGGAAGGAAGAGCCAACGCTATATTTGTGTAGTGGTGTTTCTGGTTTCTACACCTTGCCAGAGCTCTCCTCTTAGGGACTGCCTTTCAGACACACACTCTGCAGGTTCAGTGACTCCAGAGCTTGGACTTCAGCATTTCATCTCTTGCTGTCACCATCCCTGAAAGATGCTCTGTGTGACAGAAGGTTTAAATGATGTCATTATGGGAATGTTGTCCAGCTTTTGCAAAGAGCTGTTATGTGAGGGAGTTCCTGGTGGGTTTGCACTGATAACAGCACTGCTCCATTCACAGGCCTGGATCGGTAAGGAGGATGAGTGTTTCAGGACAAACAGGGGGCTGGGCAGAAAAGCAAAAAGCCTTGGCTCTTTATCAAGGAATAGCTATCAACTGCAAGAGGGGCTGAAGTCAGAAACACTTGCAAACTTTGGGGTGTATGTGTGTTCCTCAAGAATTCAGACACTTCCACTGCAACTAGAATGTTCTCGGGCCCCATAAAACCAGCTGATCGCCTCCTGCCATTTCCGCGTTGTGTTTCTAATAAGCTTATCCCCTACGTGATTGCATAAAACTGATAAAACAAAAACACAGAATAGACGACTTTTCCTGTCAGACAGCTGGGGTGTGAAAAGTGTCTTTGGCTGTTTGTGCCAGCAGAGAAAGCAGAGAATATGAAGGAAGTGTGTGAAAAGTGGCCAGAAAGGAACACGATTTCTGCTAACACAGACTACCACTGAGTCCATAAGTGTACACATATAGACACATCTGTGGATGGAAGCTGTTGCTTTGTTACCTTTAATTAGCAGAAAAGTCTTTGCTTGCTACCTAGATGAAGTTTAAAATTAGGTATGAAACTCTGGGCAGTTGATACTGTGTGTCTACTGTATATCTAATCACCTGCAGATTTAAACTCCAGCATTTTTAAAAGGGAGGAAAGCAAAGCCAGGAGAAGAAAATGTTTAAAATGTAAGCTTATTTTCCTGATAGCAGCTAAAGGAGAACAGGCAGCAAAAAGTAATTTTAGCTATAGAAAGTCTTTATGTAAGTTTTGTGTCAGTAGCTGTTAAACTGAGCCAAATGTTCTTTGCACAAAGGTGTTAAGAAAAAAGAGAAGGGAAAAAGAAGAGATAAAGCTAAAAGCTCAACTCCACAAACCTTTTAAAAGTAACAGGACTTTTGTCTTTTTTTAATGAGTGTTTACCGTTCATTTTCTTGCGAAAGAAACTTGAAAATAACAGATCAATCGCTTAGAGGTCTCTCTGCATCTCAGCATATTTCCTATATAATCAAACTCCAAATCAAAAAGTGCAAAATTACTGCTGAGAACCAGGTATTTGTCCCTCCCCACTCCATAGTTTGTCACCTACCTACTTTTCAATGGTCTGCTTTGAAACTGAGGGGAAATAAAGCCCTGTGAGAAGAGAAGGTGTGCATGCTGACCTAGACCTGCCATATGGACTGTAAGTGCTCTTCCCTGTGTGTTTAGCTGGAGGAAAGGGGAGTCCCTCACTGCAGAAACAAGGAACACTAGGAATGAGGAGGCATCGGGCGGGCTGTGAACACCAGAATGTCACGGGATGGTTTCTCCAAGGCAGGTTGTGCAGTCAGGTGGGACCACAAGCCTGCTGGGTTGTCCTTCAGCTGTGAGCACTCTCTGACACTGCCCAGGCTGAAGATCCCTGGGATTTTAGAGGCCTGATGTTCTTCCAGGGTAGATTGAGTACGGCTTCCTTGTTAGACAGATGGATCTGTGCTGGTTTATGCAATCTGATAATCTGACCTCTTTTCTCTTCACAATCTGGAAAAATCTATGATGCTGAAACCTGAGTCTGTCAATAAATAATTTCTATTTTATGCAAGAGGAGTTGAAAAGCTAATTTTTTTTCCTTCCTGATTGGGCTATTCAGCGATATCTCTGGGATGGAGTGCATCTGTCTTGCATCTGTGCTGGTGACCACGAGATGCGGAAAGCATTGATAAAGTATTTTAGTTTTAAATCCCAGCCCTCCAAGTCTGTTGTTTCAAGGTAACCTTCAGCCTTAATTCCTCACGTACCAGAATTTTTGTGTCCTCCACAGTGGATTTGGATGCAGAGTTCAAGATTATGGCAGGAGATGAGATGGCTTCATATTGTGCTGGATCTCAGTGAGAACTGGTGCAGCTGTTCTGAATGAAGTGAGGATGTAGCCCTTTACAGATAGCAAGGCTTCCTTTCAAACATGAGAGGGGTCGTAAGAAATGGAACTTATATTCGATAAAGGAAAAAGAATACAATGCTCCTACAATAAATATCTTCCACTAAATAAATCTGCTTGTACTTTTCACCTTTAGTAACTAATGGTTTCTTACACAGGTTATTTCAGCTAGCTTGTAAATCTAAGGCTGCTCCCATGCAAGCTGACAGCTGTAATTTCTTTTCATGGAGAGGCTGTTTTATGTGTCACAAGTGTTCAGTACATATTTGATAGAAGTTTATAATACTGTTGTGAAAGCCAACTCTCCTCACCAGAAGGCAGAACCCTTCTTTCTGACTGGGAAGCTGCCAACCCTGTCACATTGTGTATTTATATTTTCTAGTTAATGTACAGAATGAGATGGCTTTCAGAATGAGGTTCTTTCCAGAGTACTTGGGAAAAAACCCTGTTTACTCCCTTTCTTCATAGAGAGTTGTTCACCCTTCAGATTATTGCTGTCTCACCCATAGAGGTTAAGCTATCAGTAGCTCCAGCAGGGACATCCATGTATGTTAGCTGCCAGAAGAGAAAGCCAAATGTTTGAGCAGTGATTGAAAAGATATTAAGAGCAGAGGAGATTCTAGTTAGTGTATTTGAGAAGGCAATTGCCTAGATATTAAATATGCAATAGTAAATCTTCTGTAGTTGCAGTCAAACTTAATATGAGAAAATCTACCCTGGTGTTGTAACAAAGTATGTCTTAGCTGGGAGTGACCTGGGCTTCAGGATCCAGACATTTGTCTTGGGAATGGCTCTGTATGTGCACATGCAGAAATTTCTGTGCACCCACACACATTCTCTCAGCACAGAAGGGCGTATTTGCCTCTTAGCACAGTTTCGAGTATCTTTGATTTGCCCAGCAAAGCACTGTTTCTAAGTCCTAGCTTTGATGCTTCATCTAAAAAATTTCCTTTTTCAGAAGTCCTTCCGCCCCAGGTTCCTCAGCATAGCAGAACTACTGCATGAGGAAGGCTTCAAGGTAGGTGGTTTCAGTTATTTAAAGCTAGAGAGCTTTCAAAATCTGAAATGTCCTCAGCCTGCTGCAGGAACAAGTTGGAGTTTCTTTGGAGACAGAGAAAAAAGGATATTTTCAATGTAAAACAGGGATTTTAAGCTAAGTGATCCATGAAGTCAGCAGGTATCACCCAACTAAAAGTTCTCATGATTGCTTAATTATATGGGACTGTTGTGAGGGCAGGAACAACTCTGGCTCTGCTATCAGCGTGCAGCCAGGATGGACATTATAAACTCCTCTAAGTTCTCCAAGATACAAAAATGTTAGCAGGATGTCATGTGTGGCTGGAAACAAGGAAGGGAAAACCTTTTGTATGGAGAAGATTTTTGTAGTGCCTACTATAAAAAGTTTTCAGTGATATTCACAAGCCACAGAGATCCGAACTCTGTGGTGTTTATATCCCTCTTGTAACTCTTTAGCATCCTTTGGCATCTGTGTCTGTATGGAAAGGCAACTATCAGCACAGCCACAGAAGACTGGTGAGAGCTTTTACAGTTCTGCCTTTCAAAACTTAGTGCTAGGCATAAAAAAAAATAAAAATAAAAAGGTGGCAAAAAAAGTCATAAGTGATTGAACTTAAACTCTATTGAAAGTCAGAGGGATTTAATTTTTCCTAAGTCACTTCACTGCTTCTGGATGTATTACTCCTATTTGTTGACTATCATCCATCAGGAAATCCCAGATAACAGAAATCTGGGAGAGTCATTCTGTACTGTATGGAGAGACACCTTTGTAATGAAAAATTCCCTCCAAAATCAGCTCTGACAACCAAGGCTGTGTGTTGGGTCAGATCACGGGAGTTAAATGAAGAGATTTGGTATGAAGAAGCACACAGTAAATAACCTTTTTTTTGTTGTTTGTTTTTTTTTTTTTTTCTCCTTCACAGCTTTATGCCACAGAAGCAACCTCACGCTGGCTCAATGCTAATGGCATCCCAGCGAGTCCTGTGGCGTGGCCATCACAGGAAAGCCAGAGTCCGAGCCTCCCTCCAGTCAGCAGGTAAGAGTAACACTCACCTCATCAAAATTGAACATTACTTTGCATTGCTGATTAGAACAGAACTAAAGCCGAAATTCCTTTGTGGCAGCTTAGTGCCTTAACGCCTTGGTTTTTTTGGGGGTGAAGACTAAACTGAAATGAAATTTTTCAGTGTTGTTTATCTCCATGCTTGTGCTATTCGTCAGAGTATTAGGTGGGACACACTGTGATACTGTCTTGTGCATTGTCTCTTTAGGCTGGTGAGGGATGGGAAAATAGATCTGGTGATTAACCTGCCCAACAGCAACACCAAGTTTGTCCATGATAATTATGTGATTCGGAGGATGGCTATTGACAACGGGATTGCTCTTCTCACCAACTTCCAGGTACTTCCCATGTTGTTCTTTCTCCTCTTAGACATAAGAGCCTTCACAGCTTGCAAGCACTTGTGACCATAGATTCCAGAATGTCTGTACCCTCATTATCTGACAAATAATGTATCTGAAAATCATGACAACACATTGGTTTGAATGGTTTTCTTTTTGCTTCTGTACAAAATAACATTGCTCCAAGTAAAACAAAAACAAAACAAAACAAAAAATCCTGTACTGCAACTGAATTTTTTGCTGCATCATTTTCACTTCAGAGCAAACCTCTCCCACAGGATTTCCTGTAACATGTTTAATTATGCACAGGAACAGCTCTATAGTGGGATGTTTTTCCAGTATGGTCCTTAAACCTTACAGCAGGATGTTGCTGGGCTTTCTTAAATGATCCTGGGGGCAGTCCAGTTCCAAAGTGTCATCCAAGTGGAATTCTGCCTGTCCTGTTGTGGTCCCCAGTTGCTGGTCATTACATGTTTGTAGCTCCCGACAAACCTCTTTCACAGACTGACAGGGGGAGAGATATTTGGTGATGCAAAGTGGAACTCCTGCTGCCAGTAGTACCTTGCCTTCCTTTGCCAGTGGCTTCCACTGTCACAGAAGAGCCTCATCTGGCTCTCATCAAGCACAGCAGCCAAACTCCCATTGGTGTTGGTGGGTGCTGACATGAAACCCAGTGACTTGAACTGGTGTCCAGCTGTGCCAAATCTTCTGCTGTGATTGGAGTGAGGGGAGAGCAGAGAGTGCCAAACTGTCAGTTCATAGATGGGATGATGTCAGACATCATTAGAAGGAATGGGGAGTTGAAGATGCATTATTTGCCTACTAGCAAAACACACTCTGACAACCAGAACAGGGATCCCCATCCAAAATTTACTACTGCACCTGCTTGATGCATTTCACTGAACTGTTTTGATGGCAGAGTTGTAATCTCTGAGTTGGAGAGAGGAAAGCTGCCCTGGTTCTCTTTAGGTTTGGGCAGCAGAGAGAAACAACAGCTCTCGTGGGACAGAGCTGTCTTGCCAAGGAAGCCCAGCACATCTGTGTCTCTCCAGCTGGACAGGCAGGTTCCAGAGGGCTGTAGGCAGCACCTGTGCACAACTGGTGTGGATTTGGATGGACTCAAGGACTAGACCTGCACAGGGTAATTTCAGGGTGACAGAGTAGAAGTGTGGAGCCTGCTCTATCACTTACCTTTCTGCAGAAGGCTTTGCAATGCTCAGTCCTCCTCTGCTTTGTATTGGCAGGTGACAAAGCTTTTTGCTGAAGCTGTCAAATACTCTGGGAAGTTGGACTTCAGGAGTCTCTTCCACTACAGACAGTTTGATAATGGAAACACTTCATAGAAGAACTCTCTCCAACCTGCAAGCTTACTGCTTTTGGCACCACAAAAGAGAGGGGATCTCAGATCATCCAACCAGCCATCTTTGCATGCATTTTGTAGCATCTGCACCAATTGCTTTTGCAGCTCACTCAAATTAATTTCTAGCCAATACTTCTGCCTGCCCACTGGAAAGCCATCCTCTCCCTAGTCTCTCCACTGTCTTCTCCATATTTCCACATAGGATCAAATATTAGTTTCTTCCCAGATGGGTAGATCCAGACACCACCATAGCAGAGAGGATGAAAAGAAACACAATTGATCCTACATAGGAGTTGTTCCTTCTTTTCTTAAGCAAGCCTTCTCCTTAGAAATGCCTTCCTTGGATCCATACTCCAAGCTATTTACATGCTGAACTACTCGAATCTGGCCCTAAATTCCCATAGACACACATGGAACTTTCTCTTTCCATTGCTGATTATTGAGGGTTTTGTGACTGTAAAAATAAAATCCTCCTTGATCCACCTGATGGCACCATAGCTGTCTGTCACGGTGTTGAGTATGACCAGAGTTCTTTAGGACAGATAAACACAAATTCCCCACAATTCCCTGCAACAGCAGACAAGCATGGTGCAGCTGCTTTTTGTTTGATTTTTTAACCCTGAAGAATCATCTTTTTCAGCATGCAGATTTGATGGGAGAAGAAAGCTGCATGTACGTGCCCTGGAATTGCTTCCAAGTTCTGCTCAGACCTTCAGGATTCTATCAATATTATTTTGAAATTCTTGTTCAACACTGTGAGTTCAAATGTCTGTCCCTGTATGATAAAGACTCTCTCTCAGCTTTGTGTCTGGCTTCAAAAGTGGAGAACTCCCCAAAGACTTTTGGGTGTCGCTGTCTAACATTTTATGCCATAATTGTGGGCATTAAAATCGAATCCTTTTAAATTGAAGTGTTGCAGTGCTTTCCCTCTCCCGGTTAAGTGACCCCTTCACTTTCCTTCCCACCTTCTCTGCTGCTTTTTCAGCTCTGGCAGCACCTGCAAATGCTGTCTGTGGAGCAGACACCCATTTGGCACATGGGCCCCAAGAAGCTTGGAGTTTGGAGACAGAATAAGGGTGAAGAGATAGTCTCGTGTTTCTTAAATTAATGCTGCAAGATTGCAGGAAGGATGAAAAAATTTCATGAGAGCTGTTATTGGTACATGCAAAAGAGTGGGCAGAGGCTGTGATGCCTTTAGGTACCATGGGACTCTCTGCACCATTGGTGCTAACTGCCAAGACCAAATTTTAAGACAGATTTTATTTCTGATCTGGTTGACGTCCCAAGTGCTCTTGTCACAGTATTTCTTCAGTACTAACTTTTGTGATGAACACACTTGCCTGCTCTACGAAGGGAGAGCTTTGCACTTTTAGAATAGAGATGTTATTAAAAAAAACCCACAACAGCAAAAGAAAACCCTCAAACAAACCAAAACTTTGGAGGAGCCCAAAGGCATCAATTGTTCACCCATTCAGTTGTGAAATGGAAGACTAATGGTGGTTAATGAAGCAGCACCCTACAGGCACCATATTCTTTCAGTGCCAAAAATCCCATTAACAACTGGTGTCATTTACAGCCACCCACCCTGCTTTTACCTCTATTGGTGCACAAAGCGACATCTTAAAGCATCTGCATTCTCTTGTTCTTATGTTTCTATTTTGTCACTTCTTTTGTGAGTTGAAAATGAAATAAATGCCTGGATTATGACAGGTACTCCTTCTTAAAATCTGTGTAGCCTGGATTCTGCCCTTCTTTTTTTTTAAAGCATTAATGAACACTAGTCTGTTAGGGAACCATCATTCTGATATCTGACAGGAACTGCATCACTTAGTGCGGAGCTGCCGACTACCTCAGAGGCGAGGAGGTGGTGGAAAAAGAGCAGCAGGACACTTGAAATGCTCTTTCTCTTCAGCTGTTGTACTCAAGAGAAGGGAGAAGCCCTGATCCCCCAGGAGGGACATGTGAAATGTGAGGAGCCAGGTGACGGAGCAGTGGACTAACAAACATTGAAGAGATGGGAACTTTAAAGAAGGGGCTCTCAGTTTTGGAAAAATGGGAAAAAATGTTTGCTGCTTTTAATTCAGCTTTCTTCAACAGTACTCCTGCCAGTTAGTGTGGATGTAGCTATAGAATGTATTTATAAAATGTATCTATACATTCCAGTTACTGCAGCACCTGCAGGAACTTAATCCACAGCTCCTTTGGTGTCCACAGGCTCTCATACAGTTGGAGTGCAATTCAGTGGAAAAACACACCAGGGCTGAATACATACTGAGTACTTTGTAATTATGCAGTAGTGGTAATGTTTTGCTGCAGGTGCTAAACCCTGGGCCCCTTTCCCCCTCCTCTGAAGCAGGTGACACTAATGTTCTTCCAGCACTTAGAGCTATCTATACAAATGCCATCCCTTGCCTTGTGTTTTTCCCCATTGTCTTTTGGTGTCTCCTCCCATTCCCTGCTGAAGGAAAAAAACATTCTTTTTACTCTGACAGACGCAGGATGAAATTCCAACTCCTGTCATGGTCAGAAGGAGTCAAGAAATCATGCTCCAGCTTACCTCGGGCATACACTGATGCTGGCTGAATTTATTTCTTGATATGCTTTTCTTTTTTGTGCTGACACTATAGGAAAAGATTTATAAGTATATACAGCTGTTGAGATCCAATCAGAGCTAAAAAAAAGTTACAGTTAGTATCTTTTGTATCAAGCTCATCTCTGCTTTCAACAGATTGTGCTTTATAAATGTATAAATCTTTGTCTTAATTATCTTGGAGAAGGTGACAGTGACAGATGAAAGAGGTGGCTGTTCAGAACAAGAAACTTGCTAATCTATGAGCAGTCAAATAATTTTACTCTTTTTTACTGCCTTAAAAGAGGGTTGATAAAAGAAATAAATAAAGACAGTACAAAGCGCGACTTTTGAGATAAGCACAAGAAATGGTGACAAGAGCCATGATGAAATATGAAGGGAACTAATTTTTAGTAACAGAGATGATTTCTTTTTTTTTTCTCAGTAGCCAGTCTGCTGAGCTCCTCTCTGGAGCTATAGTTCTCCTAGTGTGCTAAATGCTGGGAAGCTCAGGACACGTGATTTCCTGGGAGGCGCTGCTGAATAGCGAAGTCAGGCACTTTCTCCAGTTGGTTACCTTCCTGGATTTACTGTTGTGGAGTTAACACCTTTCGTATCACCTGGGGATTGCTCAGGTAGCCAACCCCTGCAGAGATTAGTAGCAAAGCTGGGATAGTTTGGCATGTTGAAAGCACGAAGAGAAGAATGTAAGAGAAAGGACAACTTAGTGCTACCAGATTTTGCATTCCTGGTAGAGCTCTTAGAACACAGCAAGATGAAAGCACACACTTTATGTAAGTGGAAAAGCTTTAAGAAACCTCTTTTCTGTAAGACCATCTGAATCCATCAAAATCACGTTTGTTAAAGTCCTAGGAAGTAGCCAAGTAGGAAAGAGCTGAAAGAGCTCTTGGCAGTGAGCAGAGAAATGAGTCTTGCTTGGCCTGCAGGTTACTGGGTTTTCCTGAACTGGATGTCGCTACCACTCTGTAAGGCATCTTTTTTTTCCTTCCCTCACATACGAAATGTGGTTTAAAGGCTTATTTGTGCTTTGGCTCTCTGTGCTTGCATCAGAGGCATCCAGGAGGACAGCACCTCTATATCTTTGTAATAGAGTGATCCATAAAAGTAGGGAAGGGATTGGAAGTTAGCACTGTGCTAAACCCCACAACTGCAACGTGTGCAGTACCAGGAGTTTGATGCATGCCTGCTGCCTCTATCCCAGTGTGATGCCAACAACCACTAGCAGGAGGGTGGGTTCATGCAACAACCAAAATGAGGTGGTAAGTGAGAGAGGACCTCTGGCTCCTTCTGTTTATAGTGTTTATAACACCAAACCACGGTCAGAACAGCCTGGACCTTGGGAACCTTTCAGCACATAACCAGTGCTGCTGCCATCCCTGCAAGGACAGGAGGTGCTGCCCTGCCATTAGCCATCTGCAGGACACTGAAATGTGCTCTGCTACAAGTCAGCTGCCAAACAGTTCCCAGACCTTCTGTTTTGATTCTTTCTGCATCTCAGTGTCTAACACTGTATAACCTAGTCATGCTGTAACATTTGTTTCACTCTTACATTGAAGAGAATTTAAATATGAACCTTTTAATGTGTCCTAACTAAATGGAGAACGTGATATTTTGTCATTAGCTCGATAGGGTAAACTCTCACGCATTCTTCTAATTAAAATATATTCAGTTGTGCAGGCTAATTATAGCAGTTGAGATAAACTCTTTTAATTCATGGAAGTTTTTAAAAATGAAACTGAGAGACAAAAGCATTTGTTGCAAATTATGTTCAAGCTTTATGATAATGTACTTTGGGGAAAAGATGAATAATTTCTAGAGAGTAATGCTAGTGCTTTGAGATTACCATAATCTTGTCTAAGATACTATCCTAAAGTAGCAAAGTGCAGCTGTTTTGCAAGGAGCTTCAAAGAGTGTCCAGAGTTTGTAGTTCTGTCATAATTCAACTTCCCAGGGAAAGTTTCTTCTTATTAATGGTCAATTTTTTACTCCTATACCGTAAAGTTTCTGCTGTCTGTGGGCTTTTGGTAGTTTCTTTGGAGCTGCTTATGCCAGAGCAAAGCCAGCATAATGCTGTTGTGCTTGATTTTACACTGCTTTTAGTCTCTATTGTAAATGATACGAGATATTGATATGGAAAATCAGGTACCTTTTCAGGAAAAACGTTTGCTCTTCCAGCTCTAGACAATCTTGTTCTTTTTTTCTGACTTCCTGGGCAATACTAAATGCTGCCAAGATCTCATGTAGTAATGAGACCTCATTATAGCTTAAAGCAGTCCTCACTATCTTTGAGAGGTATTGAAATCCATTCCCTTCTGACAGAAGCACTGGGAACAACTCAGAAAAGTGGGCTGTGTTCTGACTAAGCATCACTGAAGTGTTTGCTGCCTTTCAGGACTCATGGGAGACAGAACAGTGGAGGTGAAGCCGTCCCAATGTGATCTTTGTCGAGGGTCAAGCTTGAGACTTTAGTCAAATTTTGAATGTGCTGATATGGCCATCTGAAAACATATAAACAGAGTGTTCTTACTGCCAGCAGGGCTGACTCCTTTGTATATCCTAAAATAGGCATTGAAATCTTTTGTAGTGCTCTTCCAACACCTATAAAAGCATCAGTATTTCTCTATTTTGCAGCTTAGCCTGAGCTGTTATCCTGAAATGAAGGTTTTGATAATGCTCTGTCATTTATGACTCATTTGGATATCCAAACTCCTGGTGCCTCAGCAGTAGTGCGTCTTGAGGAGTATCTCCTGTGCAGTTTTCAAAGGGACAACAAAACGCAGCTGTCAGAGCTTTGCACAGGTAAGCAAAGAAGTCCTGTGATGGTGGAGGGGAGGAGGGACGTGCCTGTGTTGTGATGGACATCAGTAACATAAAGCACAGCAGTGCCG